TCGCACCAGAAATAGAAAAGAAAAGGAAAAAAGAATGAGGAAACAAAGCCACTGACTATACCTATAAGGGCAGCTAAAGCTGGGAGCCCTGCGGAAGTGCATAGGGCCCTGTCCTGTATCAGTTAGAGTGGCTTCGTTTTTTGTTTTTTGTTTTTTTTACATGAAAACGTTAATATGAATAAGGTTGTAAACCAATCTCTTCAGCGGCGCATTTTTACATAGTGGGATCCTTGTGTAGGATTATCATTTAAACTTTGAAAACTGTAGAGTTAGGTGTAACTTATATTGTTCATAGATTATTTTGATTAAAAAATCACACATGGAACGATGCGTGTACGTTTTTTTTCCTTTCTATTTTTGGTTTGTTTATTTGTTTTTTGTTTTTTTTTTGTCATTGTCTCGTCCTTGTTGTTTTCCTTGTTGTTTTCCTTGTTGTTTTTTTTTCTTAAGAGGCGGAATATTATTAGGGTACAACTCAACTGGTCAAATTAATGAAAAGATTCCTTGTAGGTGCCTAATTCTGACGCAAGTAAATTGTAGCAAGAAAGAGAGAGGAGATATAAAATGAAAAGCACATTAACCGTGTTACTCTCAGAGGTGATTAGCATGTAACTTCTCGCTATAATAATATCCCTACATCATCCAGCAAACAGATAATGAGAATACTCAAACTTAACAGGTAGAAGTTGTTATCCTGATCGAACACCAAATTCTAATATCTTAATTACGAGGAAATGTCTCGCAGCTAGAGGGAAAAATTAACTGTCAGATCATGCGGCTGGAAACACGTACTCTGTTAGTTGTCTTTTCAGTTGGGAGGCGGGGCAACGTTGCATGCACGAACTTCAAGTTCCATGACTAATTAGCTCTGTTGATATGAGATCAATTTCGTGTGGCAAAAGAACGGAATTTTGCGCAAGGACTGATTGAGTACAAAAAGGAAGAGGTGTCGGTTTATTGGAATGCACTCGTTTGAAATTTTAAAAAGCTCCTCTGTGGTTTTGAAACGGTATAGACTCGATAAGAGGCTCGTTTTTCAATGGTGCAGTTGCGTTTGCAAGCGAGGTTTGGAATTGTGAACTACTTCGAAAGTTGAAAAACATCCAGCAGTCAAAGAAGAGGACGCACTCGGCGACTGAAGAAGGTATCACAAAAATGGAAACTTCTTTGAGAAACGACCAGAAAACTCCGAAAAATGCGACCGGAACAAAGCACGACTTTTCGTCGTCGGGCAGAACAAGTCCAGCACAGGAACAACCTAAAGTTTCAACACCAGATGGCAGTGATGCTTCGCCTCAAAAGAGCCCAAGCTCGGCTAACAAGATAAAGAGTTTCTTTCAGGATTTACAGCGCGAGTCCCGCCACGCTCTGTCGAACAAGAAAGCCAAAATAATCCAGTTGTGGGAAGGAAGAAGATGGCGGCGAATGAGCTTGGAAGAGGTTGAGCCTTTTGCTGAAATGGAGGAAAAAGAATTATCATGCTACGGAGAGACTGAGCGTTTGGGATGCAACGCTAGTACAGATGACAATTCTTATACGACCGGAGGACATGTCGACGGCATCATGGTCGAAAATCGCTGCTAAAGGTGACAATTTGTAGCTCGCTTGAGAGTTACCTATCTAAAAGAAAATCTTAATTTAAATGCTATTGATATAAGTTATTCATCAATTCTTGTGTTTCAAAAGTGATTCTTCGGCTCATTAGAATGTAGTCAATTTTGTGGAAGAAGATTCGAAATTTAAGACTAAAGGTTAAACGCCCATCTTTCCCAATGTTTGTGTCTGTGTTTCACACTGTAATAAAATCATTGTTAATTAGTAAGTTCTAGAGTGTGGATTTGTTTTATTGTTAGTATCGTTGAGATGATATAGAAATAGGATATAATTCATGACATGAATTTGTTTATCTCATCAATGAATCAATTTGATTTAAGCGCAAGTTGTTCCTTCAGTTTAAAATTCGTACGCTTTGAGGACCTTCTTTGTGCTCGTTTTATTCCAACTCCAGGATGATCCGGGGGAATAATTTTTTTGGGACTCATTATTTCACATCCTAACTCATGTTTTGACGCTCCATCAACTGAACGACGTTTGAAGTCTTACAAGGTATGTCCATTGCATTTTAGCCTCTCCTTTTTCTTGACGTTTGACTACTAGGGATCTTCCAGTTATGTTATTCCACCGTTAAGTTCCACAAGAAACAAATCCCCTACAAAAAAAAAAAAAGACTTCCTGAATACAGACGAACATACACTAACAGCCAACTCCCTATGTCGGCCATTTTATTTCCCTGTGTTTTTTTAAGGGAGACATGTACAACGCCCAAACGGCTAACTCGCCGAACTCCGGATCAAAAAGTCTGAATGAATACATTTCTGGACACATCTTTCTTCTTGGCTACGAATGCCCGGTTTAAAGCTTATGCGAAAACTTTGTATGATAATATGACCTCACAGATTTATACGTAGCCATTTTCTGGTTCGGGTAACAGCAGAAGTTGAATCGAGGAAAAACAAGGCTGAAAAAGAACAGTCCCACCCCCAAATTTGATCCCAAATTTGGTAGGAGTGGTTAATAGGTAGCCTGTAAAGATCCTAAAAATTGAAAAAACGGGGACTGACTCGACCCTTGTTCGGGTTATTGTGCTGAATTATTGTGCAAGAGGCTTTTGTATTAAGGTGCCACTCCTTAACACAGAATATGTATTAGAGAACTGTCGTTGAAACTTGACGAATGCTGAATAAGGGAGAAGGGAGCTACATATTTTCATCCCATAAGTGGAGGAGTGTCAATACACCTTGTTACATAATGCGAAGCTCTGATAGCAAAGTGAGTCAGTCTTGGAAAACTTTTTCTTGGGGGCGGGAATAGTATGGCAAAATGTGATCAGCCCTCTAAACGAAAAATATACTCACACAATATAAGTATTCCTATCAGAGTCAGTTTGATTGATTATTGTAAACCTTAAAGTAAATTAATCTCAACGGTATAACTAATGTAAATATCACAAGGAGGTCTAATGGAGGGGGGGGGGAGGAAAAGATTCAAAACGCGCGCGCCTAAACGCTAAGACAAGGGCCTTCTCGCACGCTTCCTAGGAATACTTTTCATTCTCCTTTGAAAATTTATCCTTATGATTATTTGTGACAAAACACTTCAGGGAGAAGTTAATTAGATTAAGTTGCCATGAGAGCAGCTAAAAAATAGGCCCTGAATTCTTGAGTAAAACAATTTCAATCATCCAAACACAATCCAGGTACTACAACTGTTTAGTCACAGGAAGAACACGAGCCTGCTGTATACAAGTAAAGGCAACCTACTATATGTGGACCTCTTCGAATGAGACCTCTCGACCGAAAAGTAGTCTTCTTCTGTTGTTGTTGTTGTTGTTTCTTATTGAAACGCCGATGTGGAATAACTTTTCACTCTCCCTCCCCCCCCCCTCCCCTTCCAGAGATAACACTCTTTAAGTCGTTTAACTATAATTTCACACCAAATCAAAGAACACTTTATTTTTTACTCTGAAAGATAATCGAATACAACCAATAAATGGAGACAAACGTCAAAAAAAAAAGGCATCAACTAAAACAAAACAAAACTAAAACAAAGCTGTCTTTAAAATATTTACAAGTCCAATTTCTATTCTTTCTTTTTCTTTTTTTTTGAGCCCGCGAGGAATATTTCATCGGCTGTGAAAAAAAAAGGTCCTAACTTACTACAAAAAAAAGAAGCAATTATCACGCTGAAAGAATCACATCAGAATAACTGCTGCGCAATATTCAGATTCTACTGCAAAACATGGATTACACGATTTTTATAATCGCAAACCAACAACTTATTATCTTCAAAAGCAGCGACGGACCAGGGAGATATATTTCCTTCATTAAACGAATTAATATATTTTCCATCTAAAGAAAATACATGAAGACTACTGTTATCATTGTCACACACGATCAGGTTGTTAAACGCGTCAATGGTGAATCTTCCAAGCGATCCAACAACAGACTCCTCCTTGCCAATATCGTAAAGATAAAGTCCTTCGTTGTTGAACACTGTAACATAGTTATGTAAATTATATAAGACAAAAAACTTGTTCTCATGATAAACAGCAGAAGTCGGGTAATCAAGACTGTGTGGTCCTTTGAAGGACTGTACTAATCCTGTTCCGTCAGGGGAGAGGACCTTGACCGACTTGTCGCCCGAGTCACACAAGATCATCTGACCATCATCTCTGACAGATACAGACAAAGGATTTATCAAACTCTGACTGATGACTTTAATGAAGTCGCCATGTTCAGTGAATAAGAACATCTTACTCGGTTTAAAAGGTTCTTCATAAATGACAATGACTTCATCCGATGTTGTAAATTCCACCGAAAGAGGATACTTAATTCTCTCAGAATCAAGTCCCTTGTCTCCTATTGTTCTCAGATATTTACATTCACGATCAAACAACTGAACTCTACGATTAAAATAATCTGCTATGGCAATCTTTCCTGTTCTTTCATTCACTGCAATGCTACCTGGTCCTCCATGTGATCTAAACGAATGAATAGCTTTGTACTGATGACCAGTCGCCCGAACTCTCCAAGGACTACCACTCAGCGGTTGGCCATTAACCTCAACAGAAATGTCACGTAAGCCACCACTCTTTGGCTTGTAACGCACTACGTAGCTTCCATTCTTACAGTCATCAATTTTGGTTTCCTCCTCTTCTCCCTTTTGAGAGCGGACTATTACGGTCAGTTGGTCATGTTCATTATAACACTGACTTCCCTTTGAATCTCGCGTAGTGACTGTAAAGTTAGTTTCATTGTTTGTTGGTGCTTCGATTAAACCTCTTCCTTCTGCCGATGATTGTGAAGGATCCGTG